TTATTTTTTTCTGTTATAACGAACATGTGGATATGCATGGAATGTGAACATGTAGATTATGTATCTCGAAAGTGTGAATTCAAACAAACAATGCTTCAAAACTAATAGTATGGATTTCTGATTTCTCTATAGTAACAATGTCGAAGAAGCTGATTTTTTACCTTCAATGGTTTTTTTGCTTAGATATACTAATTATATAGATTAGAGTAGAGACTAGTTTAAATAGTATAGTATATAATTTTTACAAAGCCCGACACAGGTTTATAATTATAACTGTTCGGTGTGAGTATATCTCATATTTTCTTTTTTTCATTTTTCCTTTACCTCTTTATTTTCTTGTTTATATCTTTTATTGTATTTCCTTATATCTCAGTATTTTTTATATAAAATGTTTTTTCTTTTTCTTTCACTTTCCTATAAGAAGATGTCATCAGATTGGCAATATTTTATTGTAGAGCAGTGGTTGGATGAACCCTCTGTCTAGAGTATTATCTTAATTAATCGTATCTCTGCGGTGTGGCAAGTCACCTGTAGGTATATATAGGTAATCAGTTAGGTTATGCGAGATAACCACAGGATGTTAGGGTTAAAGTTTTATTGTATTACATCTTTCACAAGATGAGCTTTAATAAACAGAAATCACTGGTATGACTTTGTCTAAATAAAAAAAATATAATAATAATAATAATAATTTATTGTAATCAAAAAGCCAGTTTTGAGCCTTCAAATTACTTGTTATGTTCTCACTTTTAGAGCTTGCTAACAAACTAATGTTCAATTATTAACGTATATCTCATTTTTTTATAAGTATCATAAAAACAATCAATTTGAATATTATCTGTAATAATTATTAATAAAGATTCCAACACCTTTTTGTCCTTCTTTAGTTCTATTTTCCTATTTTCAATTGTTTTGTTTTAATAATTTAGATTTAATTTTATATCTTTAATATTTTTGATATTATTTGGAGAAGCTTCAGAAATCTTGTTCCAAGGAATATTTACTGGCCTAATATTTGGAAGATCGTTTTTATTAAAAGAGATAAGTGGATAATCATGTCTTCTTTTGGTAGTTTTAAATTAAGAAAAAATCCTGAAATGTGATAATATATTTTTTAACAAGATGTTTATATAACATATAATTACTTTTCATAAATGCAGAGCACAAACAAATCTACTTATTAACATCAGTATAGTATCTTTTTTTTACATCAACTTTCTTCTCTAAAGTCATTTTTCAACTGCTTTTAAATGTTTCTTATCATAATGGAAATGTACAACTATTATTAAATTTGTTCTAGTCATATATTTGATTTAGAATTAATTCTTGTATTAGAATATATATTAAATGGTCTAAACAGGCCTGATTAAAAGTATATTTATAGTTATATTTAAGCACATGCCAGTGTGCTTTAACAATCATAGTGGTTTTTGCTAGTAGTAATGCTTTAGAGTAGGAAGCTTGGGCAAATAATTTTCACCAATCTTCTTTATATTAGTTAACTTATAGATATTCTCACAAGTAAATGAGATTTTTTCCTCTACAATATTTATATACTTTCTGAACACTTAGTTAATAAATTTTATTTGAAGTAAGAAATATACCTCCTTTTATTGGAATGAGAGAGTATAATAGTATATATTTTTTGATTATTCCTAAAACTTCTTTTATATTTTCTTGAAGACATACAAGAACTTTTTTGCTTATTAGAAATTCAAAATTCGGCAATAAATTAGAATTGTTCTTTGGTATTATATGCTAATAAAAAAATAAATTAGAAGGTATATATAGTAGAAGCATTCGGGACTCAAATAGATTAATTAAAATAAATAAAAAAAGATATTTTATTTCACCCAAATTAAAGTCACTCAATAAATTATATCATTGACATAACTAAAATTAAGTATTTCATATGACTTTAACCTGGGTAAAAATAGAATTTTTTAAGTAAAAAAAAAAAGTTGAGAATGAAAAATTTCTTACTTACCGACTTGTGATATATATTGACTGTTCTTATATTTTTTTTCTTTTAGTTTCTTTCAATAGCATGTTCTATATACTATGAACAAAGCTAGATTTTTGTTAACCAAGTTCCTTCTACAGCAGATATTTTACTAGTATTCTTGTTTACTAAAACAAAACAAAGTTGAATATCTTTAGCTTTTAATAAAGAAAATAATTCTTTAAAAGCTAGTATTCATGAATAAATTCTGTTTTATAGATCTTGAAGGCATTCTACTAGAGCTGTTAAAATATAAATATACAAATATACAAGTGGAGTACTATAACCACTGCAATTGTGTTATATAGAACTTTTTTCACTAATCCTCTAAACATAAATTTGTTATAAACAAAAAATCAACAAAATACATATTGCACTAAAGAAAACACAGTTTGCAGTATTAAGTAAAAAGAAAGAACACACAAAATAACACTTAGTTTCTTAGGAGACAAAGATAAAAATGTTAAAGCTTTGGATGAAAAAAAAGAAAAACAGCAAAGAACTGATGAAATTTTGCTCTTTGCAAGCAATTTTTAAGAAATTGCACTTGACCCTGTACTGCAGATCTGTTGTTATACAAATGAAATATATATTAAGGAATAAACAAAATAATCTAAGTATAGATTATGTGTCAAAAGTAAACAGAGGAACAGCATCTAAAAATTCGAATACTAAAGAAAAAGAAGATTCTAGAAAACAAAACAAAACTGCAAAAGTATTAGATGAATCAATAGAAGATTATTTAGAAGAACTAGAGCTTTATAATGACTAAATAGTTGACCTTAGAAAAAAAAAAGAAGAGCAACAAGCACTTCAAAAAAGAAATATAGAAAAAAGTTTAATTCAACAACTTGAACAAGAAAATTTATTCTTTCTAACACAAAATGATGAAAAAGAAGATAAAGAAAATATAAAAATCTTGACAAATACAGAGGTATTTGATATGCAGATAGAAGATTACATGGAGAAATTAGAACAAGATAAAGTATAGATTCAAACTTGTAGACAAGAAAGTTTAGAGCAAAGATTATAACAAAAAAAGAAAAGAATAGAAGATTCCTTTTAACAAATCGAAGAATTATACATTTATATTGTGAAACTAAACCAAGCAGAGAAGGGGAATATCGAAGTGATGATCTCTAAAGAAAAAAAGAAAAGAGGATATAATGAGAATAAAGTGAAGAATCCTATAAATAAGGAAGAAGATTTATCTAACAATTACTTAGAAAAATATCTGAAGAAATTATATCAATATAAGAAGTGGTTTACAGATCTTAGAGAAAAAAAAACAAAACAAGAAAAACTTCAAAGAAGAGAAAGAAAAGAAAACCTCAAGTATCTTTATGAAGAATTAACAAGAAGCTACCTTCAACTACAAGACATATTGAAGAAGAAAATTATAGATAATAAAGTGAAAGATGCTAATCAAACAGTAGACTGTTTGAAGATATTACAAAAGAAACTTCTAAAGAAGATTTTAGTGAGTTCAGGAGAATTTTTAATTCAAGCAAAAAGAAGTAAGAAAATTAGAACAAACTGAAAAAGCAGAAAGAATAAGTAAAAAAGAAAACTCTATTTCAGAGTAGAAAACTATTAACAACTAACAAAGAAGATAAAGGAAAAAAAAAGAGAAGTATTGAAAAGTTAAAAGTCAAGTTATCTGTAGGAAAATATAAAGTAAAATAGAAAAAGAAAAAAAGAATATTAGCTTAGAAATAGATAGTATAGTATTTTTATATAAGAAAGGTATTTTAGATAGCCAAATAGAATTAGGATTAGATAGATTAGAATTAGGTAATAGCAAGCAAAAAAGTATTCAAATAAACTTAACTCAACAAAACTAAATTAAGACCTCTTTGAAGTCTATAAGGCTTCCAAGACAACTTGGTAAAAGCCTTCTAGGCAGAGATTATAAAACTCTACCTAGTGTGGCAGACTGCTTTTGGTCATCTATAGAGACAGCTGAGAGATGTTGGGCCTAGATATTAAGTTCAACATTATATAAATAGTTTTAAAAATATAACCACTGCGATTGTTTAAAATAGCGAAAAGTTAAATTTTTTCTGGTTGGTTTTAAATGTTGAGTCAATAATAATTTCAGTAATATTATTTTTTGGTATATATTGTATAAAAAGCATAAAAATCATTTTCAATATATAATAGGATTTTATATTTTTGGTCAATGAGTTCATCTTGTTCCAAAAAATTGTAGGCCAAAAGAAGCTGATTAGATATATTTGTAATATATTTTTGAGCAGAAAAATTTGAAGCCTAATAGTACATCTGTATAATTTATTATAAATAATTCGAATAGTCAATTAAAATATTTATTAATATTTTGACTTTTTCAAATTATCATTCTATTATTGTTTTAAATAATTTGAAGAAAGTTAGGATAAATTTTTTAAAACTTTTTTATAAATAGAGTTAAAACTCTATAATACTTGCTGATAAGTGTATATATTTAGATCGATAAGTTCTTCTGCATCAAGCATTCTATATAGATCTATTTTTTGTGACTTTGATTTGTATTTCTGGATATCCAAGCTATAGTGTCTTGTGGTAGGTTATTTTCACAATAGGTTGGATAGCTATGGGTAATTAAATATTCAATACTTATTTTTATTTGATATTTATTTATATCAATATTAAGGGTAGAGTATTTGTTTACATGTTTTTTTTATATAATGCACAAATAAATATGCATGTACAATCAAATATACAATTATAATTGGCTAATTTTGCAGATTATTAAATTTTAATTAGTTTATTTTTATATTACGTACAAACAAATGATAAACAAATACCCTATCCTTAAGCTTAATGCTTTTATCACAGAGATATCATTTGATTGAAGCTCTTGCTTCAACTATCTTCTTTACTACCTTACTATCAGAATGTGGATATTTCTGATCTTCTCTTTATATACAACTAAAATATACTGTTGTTTCTCCAACTATCTAATTATTTTTTTATAAATATAGACCTTTCTTAATTCCTAATAATAATAGAATCCAGATTCAATAGGTAAAAAAAGAAATTCAGCTATATTATGATATATTTTTTTTTCATCACTCTCTTGGTTTTTGTTTAATAAATAATCAATTAATTCATCATTAAACTTAAAAGTTTCTGAAAAATTTACTTGATCATTCTCATCTGTATTTTCAAAACAGTTAGATACTAAATTTTCTAAATCTCTTAAATTAAACCAGATTTCGTCTTCTTCATCAACAATTATTGCTTTTACACAGTTATCATCAGTCACATCCTTAATTTTTATATTAACTAATTTATTGTCATTATAACTAATAGCTTTAAATTTTTTTTTATCTGCACAGATATTATATATAGAACATACTTTTATTTTACTTCTAATTTGATGAATAAAATCAGCATAATTTTTGTATTAATCACAACAAGAGCATCTTTTGCTAGGATTATTAGTAATTTCAGATGTTTGACCCGATAAAGCCATATTGTTAAATTTAAAATTAATTTAATAAGAGAAGCAATAGGATCAAAGCAGGAGTAATAGTATAATATTAGTGATGAGTTTATAAGATTTATAATTAATAGAAGTGATAGATTATTAAAAAATAATAATAAGTGAAATAATTATAATGAGATAACAAGATAGTAGCAATAACATTAAGTGTATTAAAGATGTATGATTTAAATTTTAACTTTAATAAAAATAAAATTCAGGGTTTTGCAAGATTATCAGGCCTTTAAAATCTTATTTTATATTAAATGAAAAGCTATGTATGCTAATTTATTATATATTATATATTTAATTTAAGATTTATTAATGTCATATTTAAGCAATTTGTTTTAAAAATTACAAAATATTTTAATCTTTAAATTTATTAATGATTATTTACAAGATACTTAATCTTTATATTTATTAATGATTGTCGCAGCTGATGCTGAAAACAGCTAAAGCTAAAATTTGGAGTTTCGATTTAAAAATATAAGTCCTGCTAAAATCTATATATAATTGTTAATTATCAATTTTAACTCTAAACATTAACTCAACTATAAAAAAAAAGTGAGAAAAAAACACACCAAAAAAAAAGAGATTTGAATTTCA